GGAGAGGTGGGTGACCGGCCTTGGCTGGCTTTGAGTGGCCAGCGCAGACTTCGGTATCCATTTTTAAGGCACCTTCCAAACCTGCCTCTCTCAGCTTCTTTCGCTCCTTCCTTCCAACCTGTCTGTCTTCCCTGCTTCTTAGCCCTGAGCCACACGATTTTGATTTTTTGGGTTGAGGGGAAAGCCTATTGTTATAGCACACAGTGTACGTCCACCAGACTGGATCGTGGACTTTTATTGTCTCCTTCCTTCCCTGTTAGACTGGTTTGAGCACCCCCACATCTGTCCCTTACTTACCAGGTGGAGCCCAGGGCTTTGGATAATGAAACGGTGACTAATCCTTACCCAGGGTAGTTGTGACTTTTGTCAGCTGCTTCGTGGCCTGTATAGTGAGAAGCAGACCGCTTTTACCTTGTGAATAATTATGCCATCACCTCCATTAATCTTTTGCTGTTCTCAGTTAAAATGCCAGGCATTAAATGAGCCACTGAGATTGAATTCCCATCATCCTTCAAACAAGAGCAAGCCTGTTGTGTAGCCATGAGTTAGTGGAGAAAAACCCAGAGTTACAAGCGCAGCACCTTTTGCCTCAACGAAATGGAAATTTGCAGAAAAGGAGCTGTTGTAGCCTTTGAGTTATTTTAAAGCCTTTGGTAGATTTCTAATGTTTTTCTTTTAACCTTTACAGCGAGAAGATCATAAATGCCAGAGCCATTTAACTGATGGTTGGCTGTTGAATTCTGATACTTTCTTAAATACCTTCTTGCACCAACATCTTCATTGGGAGGAGCTCAGCAAAAGTAGAGAAAAGGAGAGACAACATTCATATTTACCATGGCTATACCAATAACAGTGCTTGACTGTGATCTCTTACTGTATGGCCGAGGTCACCGGACATTGGACCGCTTTAAGCTGGATGATGTGACTGATGAATACTTGATGTCCATGTATGGGTTTCCTCGACATTTTATTTATTACTTGGTGGAGCTTCTGGGGGCAAGCCTATCTAGACCTACTCAGCGATCCAGGGCTATTAGCCCAGAGACACAGATCCTTGCAGCATTGGGCTTTTATACCTCAGGTTCCTTCCAGACTCGGATGGGAGATGCTATTGGAATCAGTCAGGCTTCTATGAGTCGTTGTGTTGCCAATGTCACCGAAGCACTTGTGGAAAGGGCCTCACAGTTCATTCACTTTCCAGCTGATGAAGCTTCCATGCAGGCTCTGAAGGATGAATTCTATGGTTTGGCAGGGATGCCAGGGGTGATAGGGGTGGTTGACTGTATCCATGTGGCAATCAAGGCACCAAATGCTGAAGACCTCTCCTATGTGAACCGCAAAGGTCTGCATTCTTTAAACTGCCTGATGGTGTGTGACATCAGAGGAGCACTAATGACTGTGGAGACAAACTGGCCAGGCAGTCTACAGGACTATGCTGTACTGCAGCAGTCTTCTCTCAGTAGTCAGTTTGAAGCCGGGATGCACAAAGATAGCTGGTTTCTTGGTGAGTTTGCAGGTGTGAATTTTCACTTTGTAGCCACAGAAAAATTATGTAGTGGAGTAGAATGAAATATGGGAGTCTGTA